AAGATTGAGACAGTGAAAATTTCAACAGCTTTTCTTATGGTGTCTGGGCCCTAAGAAAATTTATCAGCAGTGGCTTGGTTTAGATTAAATATAAAACAAGTTTATTAATAAAAGAAGATGAGGATTTTCATTGAGTTCAAGTCTAAAAGGATATAGTTAGAAATGGTTGAAAGCAAATAAAAGTGAAAAATGCTTTCTGATGGCTAAGACTAAATACAACAAGGCAAACCCTCTGTTCAAGATAGTTTCCTTACCAATCTGCCTTCCAGCAAGATGGCTGTCAACCCTTCTGGTCAGGATCTTCAAAGTGCTTGATTCCTTTGTCTTTGTAGGTGAAAGATAACTTTGTGCCTCTTTTATAGTACAGTGAACATTTGAAATGGATTCTTCTGAAGGTTACCGCCCCACCCCTACCCCAGAGTAAAGTTCATTCAAGCTGTGAGGAAGATGGCATGGAGTTTCCTGATGAAGGAAGTTTCATGCACGTTTCTTCCCCTGCTGTTGTTTGCTAAAATGTAAATTGATCTGTTTCCTGCAATCTCCTCCCCCCTGACATGATGCCAAGTGGTTCTCTCCTCCTCCTGTTGCCTTGATGGGTCTGTTTACCTTTTATACAAATTGCATTCCCACTGTTTCTTAATGTACCCTGGAAATATCTTCCAGGTGGCAGAACTACATTCCTTTATCTATGATGAGGCAACTTCACCACAGCCTGTCGAACACACTTTAAGAACATAATTCCCAATATGTTCGTAATTTTGAATTTCTCTTCCATGCATACACCAGGCAATAACATTAATGATCAGTATGTTGTCACTTTCTATTGATATCTTACATGACACCTTTTTAGATACAGGTTATGACATTAGTGAGTGGGTACACTGAACTGGTCAGTCCCGTTGAAACTCACTACCACTTACCAGTGAGCCCTCTGCCCTCTTGCATTGGGATGCTGTTAGGGTCACACCTGTCTGACACTCTAGCCAAATGATAAAATTCATTATCTATGGAGATTTGCACAGTGCCCACATGGTGCTCTGCATATCTTCTCAAAGCATTACAGATATGATTTGTTTGCCTCCTTGGACACAGTTTTTGGCAAGTGTGTCCTAAAGGAGATTGTTCATATAAATAGTTCTTTAAAAGATGCTACAATACAAGCTAGGGAAGTGATTCTCCTGCTCATGTACACATACTCGTACTAGCTCTCATCAAGCTGGCATGAGTATAAATAACAGTGTAGCCATGGTTGTGCTGGTAGTGGCAGTGGAGACATGACTGAGCCACACCAAGTGCAAACCCAGCTGGGTATGAGGTCAACATGAGGGATACCTAGTGACTTCTAGATGGTTCAGTAATGCCTGCAGTTTCCAACTACCGGATCTTCCATTCTCCTGCTCTGTGGACATGTGGCGTGGTGATTGTTTCATAGGCCTGGCATGACCTGTATTGATCTCATGCTTGTCTGAACTATGTAATAGAATATATAGAACATAGAATATTCTGTGGACAAAATATTCTAATCTAACACTAATTGCCAGTAAGTCACCTTTTGACTTTGTGTTAATTGGGCTCTTGCACAGTGACGAATCTCTAATACACCTGTCACAAGCCTAGGCTCTCTGCTCTTGACTGGAAATCCACCTTCCTTCCCGTATCAGACCCTAATTAGATCAAACCAACATGGAACATCTTACTTTCTGTTATCACAACTAGATAATCTATCTGCAGGTCGAGTAGCTATAAGAAACCACCAGAGAAACGCCACATACAGGACTATAGGGGTTATTAGTCACTTGGAACCCAAACTGAACCAAGTCTTAATAAATAATTTGGAAAAGTTTTATCAGAAGACTGACATTTCTACAGAAAAAGCCTGACTTAACCATCATCCAATATAGTTCAAGAAAGAGGGTTCAGGACTCCATCCACGTAATAAACTAAATTCTACTCATTAAGAGCAAATAACCAAAAAGATAGATCACAATGGAGTACAGTTACATAGTTCATACATCACACTACAAAACCAATCCAGAAGCAGATTATGGGGGATTTCACCTTTCATTCAGTTACAGGCACTCATTTGTCATTTACAGAAAGAAAAAGAAATTTAGGCAAAAGTTTCTTAACTTAATTTTTAATATATTACTTGAGTAATGTATTATTTAGTGATTACTCTGGAAGTTACATTTTTATAGTATAAGAGTTAAAGCATAAAAATGTCTCTTTTCTCCTGCAAATGGGGTTTTTAGGTAAAATTTTTAGAATGTGCAGGTGAAATTTTGATCACATTGATGTAAGTAGGAGTTTTGCTATTGACTGCAGTGGGGGAGTTCACCTGAAGTGTCTTAAAATATTCTTAGGTGGACGTTAAGCTGTAAAACCTTAGATGTTATTCCAGTGAGGCTTTTATAATTGTAGTTTGGGGTAATACTCAATTTAGTTGTGGTCCCCAGTACAAAATCAGACTGCAGATGTAGGATGGGCTGCTCCCTTATGTGTGGCTCAGTTTGGTGGTTCTCCCACATACTGGTCTCAAGTACTAGATGCATGGCTTTCTTCCTCTTGGATTCCATCCTTGGACTCTACATGAACTGGTGGGTGTGCAAGGTACAGAGATGCCTTTCTCTGTGTGTGGGGGGGGAGGAGGGGGAGTTCTGCCTCTTGGTAGAATGGTGAATTGTCAGTCCTCAGCTCATGCTGACAAGATCTAGGAAGAACTTTTAACTTCCAGCCTGGTTTTCACCCTGTGTTCTTTTATAGTTGCATACCGGCTAGTCTTACTTCCATTTTACCTGTTACTTTCACACCAACATATGCTGGGGCATCTCCAATTTCCCAACTATAACTTTCAACAAGGCTCCACCAACTACAAGAATCACCTGCCCCATTCATGCTTCAGTTTTCCACAGACCAGACCCAGTTATTTCCTCCTTTTGCCTGGGATGAAGTTGGACAGTAGGCACAGAGATAACCCAATATTATTTAACACTTTACATGAAATATTTCCAGTGCCACAGCCTACATAGTTGGTCACTGTGGTAGTGTAGGTAAACAAGATAGCCAATAATGGCCCTGTGATGGGGTATATAAACCTTACACTGGGATAGAAGAGGAGTTAAGAAACAGTTTTGGGGCTCAAGTGGCCCTGCCCCACCACACCTGCAAAGCCTGCTCCAGCTGGAGGAGGAGTTTAAAAGAGAGCCAGACAGCAAAGAAAGGTGGAGGATAGCAGGGAAGGATAGCCTTATCCTGAGAGCTCCTGGGTGAGGGTACAAGAGGAGTCGTTGCTGCAGGAAAAGGGGGTCCACAAGTGGCAGTAGCTACCTTAGGCACCAGAAGAGGGAATAGCTTGTCCTTAAGGATTAAGAAATACTTCTCTCTATCCTGTGTTGGATTGTTTGGGAGACTAGTGAAGATGGTATAAATCCCCTTGAGATAAGGTGAATAAAGACACCGTAATCCCTGCAGTAAGTGTGTGAGGTCTTCAGGGGCCCAGAGTTGGTCCAGAAACTCCTTTTTGGGGGATGTTAGATTTTGTTACCCCGGAAAGGCATGGATATTGTGTGTGACCTGGCCAGAGGACTGACTTACGATCTACCAGAAGGGAAACCAACACTATGTCAGAGCACCCACCACAGCAGAAGCTAAAGACGGGGGACAGTTGTGACCCAGGGACCCGACCACTATGTGATATCACTGGTAAAGCCAGCCCTGTCACAAGCTCGCATTTGTATTGTATGGCCCAGACCCATACTTTGATGCTCCTTTGCACTGGTGTTCAGCGGCTGCTGGTGACTTGCTTGGCCTGTCTTCACAAATACTTTGTGATACCCTGCCTGCACTATGTGCCCTCAGAGGTATTAGTCAGAGTCACCATCTGATAAGGTGTCCTACTTAACCTGGAAGTTCCTCCCACAGCCTTGGTTCCCCTTCTACTGTTGCCTCAAATGTAAACTTCTTGTCACCACCTTAAAACTCTAGATGACACTGTCCCTCCTTGCATATCCTCCTTTGTCAAGCATTACATCGATCCCTGTCCATTCCTCTCCAACAGCGTTCCCAGGCTTGTGCGCCTGTTGGTCAGCATCTCACAATCACCTCTGTTTCTTCTATTAGTCTGTCCCCTGTGCCTGGTATGACCTTCCAGAGCTCATTTGCATGGCCCCTAGCCTGCCCATATTTAAATCCCTCTTAAAGATCCAGTTTTGCTCTGCTACTCTGAATCAAGGTGACTTTTGTATCAATTGTATATGATTTGTCTATTTTTGTTCATGTTCCTGTTACCCTATTCTACTTGCCTCTTTATAGATTATGAGCTCCTTAGAGCGAGAACCATCTTTCGGAGTGTTTGGAAAGCACTCAGTATGTCCAATGTAAATAAATGATAAATAATAACAGTAATAATGGGAGAAAAGTAGCCCAACCACCCCATCTACAAGGGTTTATTAAAGTTTGTTTATAATAGAGGTATCATGCCATCCGTTAGCTCCTTATTTAAAATATAAAATCATTTCTATTATTTCTGTTGATACTTCATTCTTTGGATACATGTGTAATCAATTTTGGGCTGCCTAATATAGTCCTATTTTACTTTCTAAGAGTGAGATCTCTTAAAACCTAATTTTTAAGGAAAGAATACTGACTTACCTGTAGTACTTTTTCTTTGAATTTGACAATCACCTTCAAACTACCTTCCAAGCAGAGTAGGCAATATTTTTGATTTATATTTTTCATTCCATTTTTAAAAAAAGAATTGACAGTTAAAGCAATTGCTGACCTCATCACTGGGTAGGTGGGTCCCAGCCACTGATGAGTCTGAATTTACATATCGGGTCATTGCATATCTGTCACATGGATTCAAGAGCAGGGCTTTATTGAAACTACTGCCTTCTCAAAACAGGAATTACAAGTAAACCGTTTTTATTATGAAAAGCATGAAAGTTATACTAAATAATAAATTCTGCCTTTAAAAGTTTTTTTTTCCCCTTTTCTCACAGTACTACAATGACTATGGCGATATCATTAAGGAAACATTGAGTAAAACAAGGCAAATTGATAAAATCCAATGTGCGAAGACACTGATTCTCAGTTTGCAGCAGGTAAGAATATTAGTTTTTATGCTAGTATAATCTCTCGTTCCAAAAAATCCCTGTGCATGGCTTTGTCTAGTGCCCTGTACTCCCAATCAAAGGCCAGTCTAATGCCAAAGGGATCTCTCATTCCTTTCTCTGTGAAAGCTTTAGTCAGCAGGACAAAGCTTCGGACTGGAAGAAAAGGAGAGAAGAGGGACATTGAAAGCTAGTCTGGGTAGTGGTGGTTCCTGCTGTGTCCACCCATCAACTCCCAAGGAGTCTAAGTGGATAGTGATGGTGTTTCCTCCTTTCACATAAGGAGCTGGAAGTGCTGCATCATGTTTTCTCTAAATATGGACTTAGGAGCCCAACTTTAGGTTCCTGTTTTTCAAACTTTTGCCTGAGATCCTTAAGTCTCTAACTATTAAAAAGCATGTTTTCCAGTCCTCAGATCATTTGTGTGGCTCTTTTTTAATCCTCACCAGTTGTCCTACATTTGAAGTGTGAGCACCAGAACTGGACACAGTCTCACCACTGCCATACACAGAAATAGTATCACCTCCCCACTCATACTCGTTATTCCCCTGCTTATACATCAAAGGATCACACTACCCCTTGTGCCCACTCATCGCACTGGGAACTCATGTTCAATTGGTTATCTACTATGACTGCTAAGTCCTTTTCAGAAGAACTGCTTCCCAAGATACAGTATCCAACCCTGTAAATTTGTCTGGCATTCTTTATTCTTGAATTTGGCTATATTAAAATGTGTGTTATTTGAATGCATCCAGTATACCAAACAGTCTATATAAATGACCTGTCCTCATCATTAGTTACCAATTATCAATCTTTGTGTTGTCTTCAAATTTTATCAATAGCAATTTTATATTTTCTTCTAGATCACTGATAAAAATTTGAATAACATTGACTTGAGAACCAGTCTGTGCAGGAGCCCACTAGAAACACTCCCCTTGTTGATGATCCCCTGAACACTTTCCTTCGATGTATTAACAGGGAATATCAAGTATTAGGGAGGTTAAATTCCCTATGTATATATGTCAGAAGTGAGACTACTACTTGAATTGGTGGTGTTGGTGGTCGAAAAGGATGGCCAAAATTTGGAGAAGTTACTGAAAAGAGCTGCAAGAATGATTTGGGGTCTGGAAATGTTTTCCTTACAGTGAGAGACTTAAAGTAATCAATCAATTTGACTTATCAAGCAAAAAGTTACAAGGTTAACTTGATCGCAGCCTATAAGTACCTACATAAGAAGAAGGCATCTGATATTTGTGGGCTCGTTAATCTATCAAACAAAGACATAACAAGATCCAGTAACTAGAATTTGAAGCTAGACAAATTCAAATTGGAAATAATACACAGTTCTTTAACAGTTAGGGAAATTAACCACTAGAACAATTGACCAAGGACTGTGGTGGGTTCTCAATCAGTTAAACCTTTAAATCAAGAGTGGATGTGTCTTTCTAAAAGATCCGCTCTAGTTCAACCACAAGTTATTGGGTTTGATGCAAGAATTGCTGGGCAAAATACTTTGGCCTGTGTTATTCCAGAGTTCAGACTAGATCATCAGAATGGTCCCTCCTGGCCTTAAACTCTATGTAACCTAATATAAGTTCTTTTACATCACATGTGAAGTCATGCCAGCCTCTTCTTGCTTTTAGTATTACTTATTTATTTTTCAGATTGACTATTGGATTCTTCAGCTTTCTACATTCTTGAGTTAATTTGGGGCTTCCTTTCCTTTCACCAATGATAACAAAAGGTCCAGTTCAACCTCACTGAAGCCAGTGGGTGTTTTTCCATTAACTTGAATGGAAGTTGGAGGGGACTATGGATTCTCCCCCCCCCCCCCCCATCCATATCTGCTTTTTGGAAATTTGACATTTCTCTCATGCTACCCTCCAAGAATCTACTTTTTAGTATGTTGAGTTCAAGGAGTTTATGGCCACTGATTCCAACCTTCCTTGCTATCCTCATATTCTCAAGCAAGTCCTCCCTTGTTGATTAAAAAGTAGGTTGAGAATGACTTCTCCTCTGGTTAGATTATCTATGATATGTTCATGAAGATGTAAATGTATTCTATGTAATGTTTTAACGTGATAATCCGTGTTTAGCTATGTGGAGATTGCTTCATCTTAGTTAGTTAAAGTCCTACTGATTACAGTATCCTTTGGTTTAAAACTCCTCATTGATTGGGTCCTGTGTAGTGATTTTACTTTGTTGCTTATTTATCATATCCTTAGTCATGTTTTGGGGCTGGTTTTTTTATTACCAAGTTGCAGATTGCTGAGATTTTTTTAATTCTTTGACAAATATTGAATGAAATATCTAGGAAATAGTTCCTATATTGAGGTAATCTCATCTAGGTATCTAAGGTAACTAGCAAGTTTTTAAGGGTGCCCAAGGTATATGGATTGTATCTATCAATATTAACATTACAGATGTGAAAAAAATCCAACTACATTTCATTCATGTGCCACCATTGTTGAGATCGTGTGTATTTCTAATACTACCCTCTTGCATACGTGGAACTCATGTACTTAAGAATCTTCTCTCATTATAGAAGTCATTCCAGTGCTCCTGAAACCCACAAATGCCCTCTCTGGATTGTTGGCTTACCATACAGTTTGTTTCCAGTATCCATCCTAGCCTTAGCACTTCTTTAGTCTCTTAAATTCACCGCTGTGCAGAAGGTCTGTTTTGGGAAGAGGTTCTTTCTCCACCTATTTCAAAGGCAAAAGTGAGGCTGGGGCTGGCCATCTGCACAGCAGTGAATTTCACTCTCTGAGACTATCATCATGTGTCACTTATCCAAGATTGGTAATAGCTGAACTACGTAAGAATGGATGTACTGAATCAGACTAATGGTCCATTTAGCCCTGTATCCTGTCTTCCGACAGTGGCCGGTGCCATATGCTTTAGAGGAAATGAACAGAACAGGGCAATTAGTGAGTGATCCATCCCCTGTCATCCAGTCCCAGCTTCTGACAGTCAGAGGTTTAGGAACACCCAGAGCATGGGGTTGCATCCATGACTATCTTGGATAATAGCCATTGATGAACCTATCTTCCATGAACTTATCTAACTCTTTTCTGAACCCAGTTATTCTTTGGCTTCATAACATCTCCTGGCAATGATTTCCAGAGGTTGACTGTGTGTTGTATGAAGATATACTTCCTCATGTTTTTTTTAAACCTGCTGCCTATTAATTTCATTGGGTGACCCCTGGTTTTTGTGTTATGTGAGGGAGTAAATAGCTCTTCTCTTCACTTTTTCCACACCATTTATGATTTTATAGACCTCTATCATATCCCCCCTTAGTCATCTCTTTTCTAAGCTGAACAGCTCCAGTCTTTTTAGTCTCTCCTTATATCTAAGTTGCTCCAAACCTCTGATCATTTTTGTTGCCCTTCTCTTTACCTTTTCCAAGTCTAATGAACCATTTTCTGAGATGGGATGATCAGAACTGCATGCAGTATTCAACATGTGGGCATACCATGGATTTATATAGTGGCATTAAATTTAATATCCTTTTCCTAATGGTTTCCGACATTGTTAGCTTTTTTGACTGCTGCTGTACATTAAGCAGATATTTACAGAGAGCTATCCACAATGACTCAAGATATCTGTCTTGAGTGGTAACAGCTAATTTGGAATCAGAATAAATAGAAATCATCAGTTTTCTTCAGAATAACCTCTGCTCTTCTCATCATATCTCTTACCAGAACCTTGCATGCAATATACTTTCTTTTTGCTTTTATGTGGATTACAAATGGCCTTGGCCGTATCCTTCACTAGCAAGTCACCAAAAAATATTATTCATCTCTATTTCAACATCTCCCTTTTATCAACTGTGTTCTGCCACTTCTCAGTTTTATCTTCATCTAAATTGACTGGGGGAGGGAGGGTGTGACAGAATTACAGGGTTTGCCTGTTGTCAATCTCTGTTAACAGATGTTGGAACCCTCCAGGGAAATACCAATTCATTCCTGATGACTCCTAGCAGATGTGTCCATTAACTCCACCCTGAATATAAAGGAGGTGGAAGTAGCTCTTTGGAGCAGAGGGGTCTAGTGTTTGGGACAGAGGGGTCCTATAGAAGCCACCTAAAGATTAGTCAGCCTGGCGAGATGGCTTGTAGTAGAGTTTATATTGAGTTGTTATTATTTATCTTGTCAATAAAGCAAAAACCCAGGGAAGGGAAGGGATGAGTGACCCCTGATAAAAGTGTATTCAGACTTCGCAGCAGGGTTGAAATGCCACCTGCTTGCAGGGGGAATATTTTTGGGGGATGCCAATGGTCAGTGGTTCTGTTCATGTTTTTTCCTTCCCTTAATAGCTGTCATATTCTCTGTCCTCCTCCACATCCCTGTCATCCACAGTCTAAACACAGCTCTCCTGACAGTGCATTACTTCATAATCTATTTCCCACATATTTGCTGAGACTTCAGCAACTTGTTAGCTCCCTCTTGATTCTTCTCCACAATGCCAATCAGCCGTCACATTTTCCACATAAGGCATTGTGGCCTAGTGAAGAGGCCACTGGACTGGTACTCAGGATATTTATAAATTCTTAGGCCAGAAGGGACCACCATGATCTCTTGTATAACACAGGCCACAGAACTTCCCTGAAATAAATTTCTGTTTGACCTAGCGCATATCTTTTAGAAAAACACCCAACCTTAATTTAAAATTCACCGGTGATAAAGAATCCAACACAACCCTCGGTAAGTTGTTCCAGTGAGTAACGACCCTCACTCTTAAACCTGCGTTCTATTCCCAGCTCAGCCGCTGGTCTGCTGGATGACCTTCGGCAAGTTACTTCCCCTCTGTCTGCCTCTGTCACGTGCTTGAAGTTAATAACAATTTGAGATTGTCAAATAACAGGCTCAAATGGAACTTTTTAATCAAAAGGTAACAGTCTGAGGGCTGGTCTACACTGCCGCGCTAGTTCGGCGGCTGGGGATCGAAGTTCCGAGTTCGATTTATCGCGTCTGGTCTGGACGCGATAAATCGAACCAGGAAGTGATCCCCGTCGACTGCGGTACTCCAGCTCAACGAGAGGAGTACCGCGGAGTCGACGGGGAGCCTGCCTGCCACGTGTGGACCGCGTCTGAACCGCGGTAAGTTCGAAGTAAGGTATGTCGAATTCAGCTACGTTATTCACGTAGCTGAATTTGCGTACCTTACTTCGACTTGGGGGGTAAGTGTAGACCAAGCCTGAGATTAGTACAGCATTATGCAGAAAGCAGGAAGAATAGGTACATCATCACCATTGGAGTAAGCTAAAGAGCCTCTGTCTCTCTCTCCTCTGTAGCTGGTAGGATTTGCACTTCCCAGCTTTACCTTTCAAGCCCTCTATCTTTTATAGTGTGAAAGACAAAGAAACTCCATTTTGGAGGGGAAATTGCTTTCCCACATTTAATTTCACTGTTTCTGTTTCTGACATTTTCATTTTACCTATTTATTTATGGATTTTTTATGGTATCTTTAGGTTACATTAAGACAAAGGGAATTCTAATCCGCTCATTATTACTGACAGCTGACCCAACTGATTTAAAAACATCTTTCAGTGGATCCTTATTTCATCCATTACAGAAAATATCTGCAATAACAAGTGCCTCTTATCATAGAACATAATTAGATCATAGGCACCCTTATGAATCACCCACTCTTGTTTACACCATACTTCTGTAAACACTTTTTGACAGTTTGAGGGGTCTTTTCCTTAGACATCTATATTCCCACAGATTCGGAGGTACCAGAAATAATGAGGTACAGTCCAATACTTGATCACGTGAAGTTCCTGAATCTAAATCATTTACAAATTAAGAACCAACACTCTGGGCCTTAGAACTCAGACACCCTTTTTGCTAATATTGTAAAAGATTGTAGGAAAATACTGAATGTGTAAATTAATTTAATATATGAGAAGAATTGGAAAAAGGATTAATATTTACTAACAGTTTCTGCATCTGTAAAATAAGGATACTCATACTGACCTCCTTTGTAAAGTGCTTTGAGATCTATGGATGAAAAGCACTAGATAAGAGCTAGGTGGTATTGTTGTTTTTCATAAAGAAATAGGTCATGGCACAACTTCTGTCAAGTTCTGCTTGGGGGCACCAGTGCTCCTGCTTGCCAAGTCACCATGGGAATTTGAATAGTTCTCAACTGTGAGCTCCCGTGGCCCTGCTTCTACTTATACATAGCTTCCAGACACTGGGTCTTGTTATGCATTTCTCCACTAGATTAAAGAGCTGTTTAGTACTCAGTATTGTCTCCCTGTGAAGGTACTTATACCCTGTAATCAGGTCACTTAGTCCTCTTTTTGATAAACTAAACAGATTGAGCTGTTTAAATCTTTTAATTTAAAGCATTTTCTTCAGCCCTTGAATCAGTGTTGTGGCTTTTCTCTGCACCTTCTCCAAATTCTCAATATCCTTTTTAAATTGTGGGCTACCAGTATTGGTCTCACCAGCATCTCCTTATGCCTACTCACTATTCCCCTTTATGTACCTCCAAGAATCACATATCTTGCTCCTATCTTGTTTGAATGGGCCAGTTTACCAATTGATCCAGATCACTATGTATGGCTGCTCTGTCCTCCTCATTATTTACCACACCATCAATCTTTGTCTCGTCCACAAATTTTATCAGCAGTTTCTTTATATTTACTGGCAGATTATTAATCAAAATGTTGAAAACTGGCCTAGCACTGATCCCTGTGGAACCCCACTAGAAACATCTCCATTCAAAGATGATTTCTTAAAATGAGGTTCTTTATCAATTATTTAACCTATTTATTCAGAAATGTTGCATGAGTGAGAAATTTGCACTGAGAGCCACAGCTTTCCCCTGTGATTCCTACTTCAAGAGCTGCTAAAACAGGACCTGATCCAAAGCCCATTGAAGTCAATGGAAAGGCTCTCGTTTGTTAAAGAAATAATCCTCTTTTAGAAAAATGTTTCCTATCTCATGGGTTTTTAACACTTCAATTCTTTCTCTAGCTGTTTAATGAGCTTGTTCAGGAACAAGGTCCCAATCTGGACAGGACGTCTGCCCATGTCAGTGGGATTAAGGAACTGGCCCGTAGGTTTGCCCTCACCTTTGGGCTGGATCAGATCAAGACAAGAGAAGCCGTAGCCACGCTGCACAAGTGAGTGGTGTGAAATACTCAGTCTTCAACTAAACTAAAAGTTTGCCTCAGCATATTCTTCCCAAAAGGAGAGAGAGTGTGTGTGTGTGTGTGTGTGTGTGTGTGTGTGTGTGTGTGTAAATATAATACAGGTGCGTGTATGTGAACATAGAGAGGCTATATGATGATGATGATGTGAATACAAAGCTTTTATCATGATGAAATTGAGATGGCCATGTTGCATATGTATTACAATGCCATATGTGAGTTATGCAGACTGTACCAAACAAGTGATGATAAAGCCTTTATGCCCCATCATCATGGATTCATCATGCACCACATATTTTATTTAAAAAAAAAAACTGTTTTAGAAATGTTTTGGAGACTTAATTTAAAAATATGGACTGTTTCTTTTATCTAACTAAATGGTTCAGAGATACAAGGTAAGTGAAGTAATACCTTTTATTGGACCAATTTCTGATAAAAGATGTCACCTCACCCACCTTGTCTCGCTAATATCCTCGGACCAGCACAGCTGCAACTACATGGCGTATCTGGTTCGGAGGGAGAGAAAAAGTGGTATATCTAAATTACCTCTTAAAATGAGCTTAACTTTTCCACACATAAAAATGTTATAGTTTTAAAGTTCACTATCTCAGAACCACCCAAGGCTATGAGCAAATGCCTCGACTCACTGGAAAGATGGGAATCTCCCTTTGGTATAGAAGTTCTCTTTCTAGACTTGCAGGGTCACACTGCCAATCCTGTACCACAGAGTATTTTAATTAGGTGTGAAGAAAGAATTTCCACATATGATTCTCCCACATTTTTGTGGAGGTTGATTTTTTAAATATGGTAGCAGTTTGAATTTCCTCAGAAGTTTGTAATGTTTGAATAATTCTGGGAGGAGTGAAACATTGGCGGACAGAGTGCAGTTGATGAGGTCAAAGTCACATGATGAATGCATGTGTTATTAAAGGCTGTACCATTATGCATACACACACACAGTCCCTATTAAGGTTGCACAAGCAACTGTAATAAATGACATTTCCTTAACTGTTGAGTGTTTGACTTTGCAACCTTAATAATGTTCTTTTAAAGTAGCTTTTTGTGTTTGTAATATATAATAAATAAAAATACAATATGTTGCACTTTTATTTTTGTCTCTATAGCTAAAGGTTATAATGTATTTCCATTATAAACAGAATGATTAAGTACTGCATGTAAAAGAGCGCAAAGTGTTTTAGTTAGTGTACTAAATTGAACTACTGGAATAATATTAGAAATATTTTCTTAAATGTTTAGCATTTCTTTACTTATTTTAATTTGACACAAGCTGTTTTCAGGATGACGGGAAAGAAATGAACAGAGAAAAAGAGACAGAAAAGATGAAGAGTAAAATATAAAGAGAGAAGAGAAAAGAGAAAAAAATAAGTTAGATTAAAAAGATGGAAGAGAGAGAGTAAAATCCACAGATGCCAATTGTATGTGTTTGATATGTCACTGAAAATGTTATAAATTTTAAAAGTTCCTTTGACTTCCCTATCTATTTCTTTAAAAATAAAATCTGTATTTTGTATTTGTGGCACTAGAACTAAAAAAGTTTTTGAGACTCTTAAAAGGAATAAAAAGCTTACAGCAGTACAGGAAATTGTTCACAAAATTGTAAACATTTTACATCTTTCTTTACTATAGAGATGGCATAGAATTTGCCTTCAAATACCAGAATCAAAAAGGACAAGAATATCCACCTCCTAACCTTGCTTTCCTTGAAGTGCTTAGCGAATTTTCTTCTAAACTCTTGCGGCAGGACAAAAAGACTGTGTAAGTGATACTCTGTTGCCTTGTTATGGGCTTTGCTAAACTGTATTATTCAGCATTGAGGTGGGTGGTTAAACTGTGTGCTTTAAGGTATTTGCAATCAAAGGGCCTGGTCCTGCAAATATGTATACCTGTGCATATGAGTAGTCCCACTGAAGCCAATGTTTGAACTTAAACTTAACCCTGTGTATGATTACAGGATCAGTGCTTTACGCCCTGATCCACAAAGTACTTTATGCACCTAATACCCAAATTTAAGTGTCTGTGTCCCAGCTTTAGGCTCCACAGCAATCTGCAAAACTCCAACTCAGTTGCTGCCTAACCATTGATGTAGGTCTAGATAGGGCAGAATGGTGTTGACCCTGAAGACTAGAGCAGGAAGGCTGAATTTGATATGCAGGGCAATGGATACGGAGGAACAAATGAAGAGATTCGAAGAGAGGGTTGATGTGATATGAATGATTGGTAAGGACGATTATTTTAGTGGTAGCATTTTGGAAAGGCTATAAGCAGGAGATGGGGGTATCAAGATGACAGGAGAGAGGATGTTGCAATAGTCAAGGCAGGAAATTAATAGAATGAGGACAAGCCATCAAGCATCAAGACAGATAGGAAGAGTGGGATTTCTAATATATTGTGGAAAAAGAAACATCAGGATTCAGTCACAGCCTGGATATGGTCTAAGGAAAGTGAGGAGTCAATGATTACATCAAAAATGTATTCCTCTTTTACAGCGGAATTGTCTGTTTTTGTGAAAGATCAGAAATTCAAGATTCGGTCCTTAAGATTTGTGATTGCAAAGATCTGTCTAGAGGATTTCTGACCTCAGTGGATCTAAGGGATACCTATCTACTGTGCATGTCCGAGTTGGTCCTTTTTGCCAAAAAATTCTCAGGTGTGCTATCAGTTCATTTGGTGTAAAGACCACTTCCCTTTCAATTTATCATTGTGAAAACCATAGGCCTGATCTGTACAAGAAGAAAAAATCAAACTAGTTAGCCTAGTGAAACCTCTAGTATAAACACACTTAAACCAGTTTAAACTTTGTTTATGTCAATTTAGCTTGCATCAGTAAATTACCAACTTAAGCTAATATAAGAGAGGCTTAAACCAGTTTAAATATTAGGAGTTTACACCAGTTTAGCTACATTGAATTTCAAATACATTTAATTAAACTGGTGCATTTGTCTAGTATGCAAAATGCCCTAATGTCAGCTGCCCTGCCTTGTGATGGAATTTGTGTGATTCTTTTCCTGAAGGACTGATTGATCTAGGGAAGTTAGTAGGCCCAGACTTTAAAGGCCATGTCCAGAGTGAAGGAGGTATTTGCCTATTTGAGGATTTTAATCACGAGAGAAATCACTCCATCATGCCCCCAGTGAACCTTCTCCATCTGGTGACAGAGACTGTCTCCATTTCCCAATGGAGGAGCACCTTGTTTCTGGTCTGAATTTGTCTAGTTTCAACTTCCAACCTTTGAATCTTATACCTTTGTCTGCTAGATTGAAGAGCCCTCCATTATCAAATTTCTGTTTCCCATATAGGTACTTGTAGACTGTAATCAAGTCATCCCTTAACTTTGTCTTCATTAAGCTAAAGATATTGAGTTCCTTGAGTCTGCCATTAAAAGGCCTGTTTTCCAATCCTGTAATCATTCTTGTGGCTCTTCTCTGAACACTTCTCTATTTATCAGCATTCTTCTTGAATTGTAGATGCCAGAACTGGACACAATACTCCAGTAGAAGTCATCCAGTGCCAAATATAGAATTAATATAACCTCCCTATTCCTACATAATATTCCCCTGTTTATGCATCCAAGGAGCGTATTAGTGCTTTTTGGGCATAAGGTCGCACAGGGAGCTCAAGTTCAGCTGATTATCTCATGGCCCCCAAGCCCTTTTCAGAGTCTCTGCTTCCCAGGATTAAGTCCTCCATTCTGTAATTATCTCTTGTGTTCTTTGTTCCTATATATATGGCTTTACATTTGGGCATATTAAAATGCATGCTGTTTGCTTGAACCCAGCTTACTAAGGGATCCAGATCACGCTTTATCAGTGACCTGTGTTCTTTGTTGTTTGCCCTTCCCCCAGTCTTTGTTCTGCAAAATTTATCTGTAATGATTTTACATTTTCTTCCAGGTTGTTGATTAAAATGTTGAATAGCATTTAGCAGGACCCCACTAGAAACACACCTGCTCAGTGATGATTCCTGTTTGCAATTTACATTTTGAGACCTATCAGTTAGCCATCTTTTAATCAATTTAATGTGTGCCATGTTGATTTTGTATTGTTCTAGTTTCTTAATCAAAATATCGTGTACAAGTACCATATAAAATGTGTTACAGAAGTCTTAAGTACATTACATCAACACTATTACCTTTTGTCAACCAAACGTGTAATCTCATCAAAAAAGTTACCATGTTAGTTTGACATGGTCTATTTTCCATAAACCCATGTTGATTTGTATTTATTATATTACCCTATTTTAATTCTTTATTAATTGAATTCCATATCAGCTGTTCCTACATTTTGCCCAGGATTGATGACAGGCTGACAGGTTTGTAATTACCTGGGTCATCTTATTTACTCTTTTTAAATATTATAACAACATTAACTTTCCACTTTTCCTCTGGAACTTCCCCATTGTCCCCAGATTTACTGAAAATCAGCATTTATAGGCCAGAGCTCCTCGGACAGCTCTTTTACAAGTCTTGAATGTAAGCTATCTGTACCTACTGATTTCAAAATGTCTAGTTTTAGTAGGTGCTGTTTAACATCCTCCTAAAACACTAGTGGTATAGAAGGTATTTCATCATCATTTGGTGTGACTACATCATCTGACTTTTTCCCAAATGCAGAACAGAAATATTTACTGCCTTTTCTGCATTATTATTGACAGATCTACCATTTCCATCTAGTAATGGACCAATACTACTGTTAGGATTCTTTTTGCTTCTAAAATACTTAAAAAACTCCTTCTTAATGTCTGTAACTCTGCTGGCCACATATTTCTAATACTTTTGCTTCCCTTATTATTTTTCTACAATTCATACCTTCAGATTTATTTTCATTGGTATGAATATTCATTATATTTATTCCCCTTTCTTCCATTAATTATATTTATATTTAAATATATGTTATAGTTCTTCTTTGAGTGCTTGCTCATGTCCATTCCATGTTAGGTGTGTGCTTGCCACATGCACCGGTGCCAGAAGTTTTTCCCTCAGAGGTATCCGTAGGGGACCCCACCCTCAGTTCCTTCTTACCGCCAGTGACGGTGCTGGAACGTTCCTTTGCTTCAGCAAACCTTCCTTCTCCAGATCTGTTAGTTTTGAACTTTCTGTAGTAAATAGTCATATCAGTTAGTATTAGTTCCCTTAGTGTGTTGTTAGTTAGTTAGTTGTAGTGTCCCGGATGGGGCATGCCCCGCTCCATGGGCTTTAAGAACTGTGACCAGTGTAAAAAGCCTGTGCCGGTCAGTGATCCCCACACCAGTTGTTTAAGGTGCTTAGGGGAGTCTCATATTAGCAACAGGTGTTGCATCTGTAAGAGCTTTAAGCCTCGCACTAAGAAAGAGTGGGACATTCGACTTAAAGGGGCTTCTCATGGAGTCGGCGCTGACACCGGCACCGGAGCAGCCGCGATCGGACTCTGCACACAGCACCACGGCTTCGGTGCGGAGCACTCTACCGGTACCATCGTCGGACAGGCAAAAATCCACCTCCCCGGCACTGGCCAGCAAGAAGAGGAAGACTGGGAGAGGTCAGTCTCCTGCTCGCAAGGGCAGGAGAGGACGGGAGGCAAGCCTAGACCCACGAAGGGCGGCTCATCACCTCCAAGTTGAGCGGGTTAGCCCATCCCGGCATGTGGAGATGCCAGAGGTCCTGCAGGTGATGCAGGATATCTTGTCCCTCCTGGTGCCACCCACACCGGTGATGGTAGCTCCCAAATCACGGGGTAAGCCTGCTCTTGGACCACCCCTCATCCCCGTCAGTGCAGCTTCACTCGCCACCTCAGGGAGCATCCCGCCACCGCTCGCCCACTGGCAGCCACCACTCACCCATTGGCAGCCACCGTGCATTGGACGTAGGGCTGCCTACTAGTTGGAGCCCTTGGTGCCGGTCTCCAGATTCCAGCCATCACTCTGCGGGCTCCAAGTGTCAGTCACCGGCAGTGTGGCATAGACCTACCGAGGCACACACGAGCCCGTGACCCTTGTACCGGGAGCGTTATAGCCACTCCCCTTCAGTATGACACCGATCCTGCGAAAGTCCCCATCAGGACTCTCAATAATGGTCACCGGCCTACAGATATTGGTCGCCACACCAGCGTCGACACTCGACATCGCGGTGTATATCACCGGGGTACTGCCGCGGATACACCGAATGCTGATGCTGGTCACTGGGATCTCAATAAGGTGGGTTGTTGCCAATGTACGGATCCCACTTGGAGCATGGAGGTGGACGCGGCCAGGACCAGGACACCTGGTCAGCCTCGGTGCGGTCCCGGTTTCCGGAACACGGCCCTCCATCTCAGGGCTCAGAGTCGCACCAAGAATCCCTGCAGGCGGGTCAAGGTCCTCCGTTGACCGCACCGGTCCTCCCTGCAGCACCATCAGGATTATCATGGGCCCAGGGCCAATGGCCTATGCCATGGCACCCCTGGAATCCATGGGGGTTCCCACAGCCCATCCCAAGGGCATAAATCAATGTTGGGAGGCTCCAACAAGCCTTCGGCCACGGTTTCCCGCCCGCCTGAGACGGAGGCCACTGTGCCTGGAACCCCCCCAGATGCAACATACAGGGGAAGACGGCCCTGCTGAGCAGATCACAGGCGGTGACACCTGCTGCACCTGCATCCTCCTCCTCGTCCCCTCATGAGGCCATCATGGGACCCCCACCTATAGTTCCCCAGGACAATATCAAAGCTCATCAGGAGCTTTTGAGTTCGGGTAGCCTCAAACTTGGTACTAGAAACTGAGGAGCTAGAGGAGCCCTCGGACAC